ATAAATAACTTGATCAGAGTTAATGATTTAAACAGTTTTAATGTCTGAATTAGATTTACTCTTCTTTACCTAAATTAAAGAGGAAGAATGAGAGAGAATTTGTATATAATTGAAACAGCCCATAGACATAAAAGTCAAGAGAAAAATCTTGTAGTAGGTGGTTATTGTGACAGTTATTAACTCTAAATTTAGTATAGATCTCTAAGTTTAAAAATGAGAATATGATGTTTAAAGAAGGTGTATGTATAATTCACCATATCAATGTAATTCTAGCTTTTAATAAAATGCATTCTGACTTAATCACCCTTTCAGTATACCAGTATTTCCCTTAAAAATTTAAGACATCCGGGGGCTTCCCTGGTGGCACAGCGGTTGAGCGCTGGGTTGTGAAGCTGCCCGCTGGGTTGTGAAGCTGCCCGCAGCCTCTGCAACACCGGTTCGATCCCCAGCCACCGGGTGAGTGTCCCATAGGGCGCGCAGACCTCTCCTGCTGCCCGCTGCTCCCCTCAGCAGTGTGTTTTGTCAGTCTGTCTTGCTCCGGCTCTGGTGAATTCTCTCACCCTCCCGTGTTCCTGACTGTATGCAGTGCTTGTATAAATAAAGAAATAAAGAAATAAATCTTAAAAAAAAAATTAAGACATCCTTACAGCACCAACCCAGTGAGTTGGCTGTTTTGGCCTGGAACATCTCAGTGTAGAGTTTGGGTTCTAAGTACTGCATTATGCACCCTGCTTGGGACTAAGTAGCTCAGTGCAGGTTTACTTTGAGAGAAAGTAAAGTGTTTTATTTCTTCCTGTGAGGTACAAATAGATTGAATGAGATAGTAACAGTCAATCCTTATTTACTTTTTGAGATAACATCCAAAGTTAAGTAATTTTTAAAGAAATGTATGATCTTTGTGAAAAATTAGAATTGACAAGTGACTCTGAAAGTATTATTGAAATGATTAAAATCATGGACACTTAAATTTACTTTCTATAATATTATTCATGAGAACCTTAGGATAAATTTGATACTTATCTGATAAAAATACTTGTGAGGGAGTTGTAAAAAAAAGAAAATGATATTCATTCAAGCTTCTTTGTACTTATATATGTCGTGGTTAATGGATATATGAATGTGTTTGCATTTTGACTTTAAGTGGTTGTAGGCTTAGCTAAGCACAGACAACCATTTCCCTTGCCAGTAATTAGGAGTGATTGTGATCTTCTGGCTAATTAGATATGATGAGAAAGTAAGTCAGCAAGGTTTCTGGAAAAGATTTCCAAGAAAGGAGATGCAGAAAGAAAGGAATGCTTCTTTCACTGAACATTTCTGTCTTCATATGATGTGCTGGACCCTGGCAGCTCATTTTATCATTATAAGTAGAAGTAGTTGTGGACGAAACTAAATGCACTCAAGAAAGGAGGACAAAAAACTGAGTCCTTCTGGGGGAAGTTGAATTAATGAGTCCAGAACAAGTTTACCTTGTCTCTTCTTGCAATGAGGAAAGCACCCTTAATTGATACAGTTGTCCTTATTCCTTAATTATAGATGCTATTCAAACTAAGTTAAAGAATCAAAACCTTATGGATCTATAGTATAGTTAATAAAATGTTTTGGAAAGTCCTTCCCAAGTGATTCTTGTATCTTCTTGTCTTCATTCTAATCCTTTCTGCCCTCACACTAAGAACGTCTGGAGCAAGATAGTTAAAAAATTAAATTAACTGGACTTGGGATAAATGATTGATTAATATAAGGGGGTCAGGGAAAAGGAGGAGTGTGAATAATGTTTTTGATTTGGGTAACTGAACAGATGGTACTGCCATTCTAGGTTAAGTACTGTAAGAATGGCTTCAGTTTTGTACATTCCAAAATTGATCCTGAATGTAATTTTGATGTATAATCCTGGAGTCCACAGAAAATATCTAAACTATTTCTCTGAACCCCAAGGTTAGTAGTTGTAACTGCAACCATGAATGTAAATGAGATTGCCTAGGTAGATATACCTTACTGAATATGCAAAATAAAAAGTCCTGGAACCTCAGAGAATATCAGTATTTCATTGTAGGATAGGGAAAAAGCAATGAGAAGGGAGAAAATGATTACTGATATTAAAAAAAAGACAGGTTTTTCTCATAAATTCAAAAACCTTTGCAGTTATTCATGTTTAATTAGGAGGTAAACTTTACATATTACAACTTTTTTTTAAAAAGTAAATCCTTAAATGCTTGTTTTTCCTTTTACTTGATGAATTTATAATGTTAAAGGGTAACCTCATTCACTAAAGAGTTAGTATACCATTCTAGTACTAACACTTTACTCTCTTCTCACTTACTAATCAATTTGATTATAGTGTCTACTACAGAGAAGGGATGTAAAATAAAAAAAAATGTGTAAATTTTCATCAGTATTTCTTTCTAGTCACTTATATTGATGGTAGCTATATTGTTTTTAGCCCAATATATACATATGACATACATATGACACTGTCCCTTGCATTTTGCTATTTATAATTTTATATTCTATTTCATCCTTTTTGTTATTTCTATTATAAATATTTGACAGGTGCTAGTCAATGTGTACTTTGTATAAAAATAAAATATTTTAGAGAATTAAGAGGATTTTGAAAACTCAACTAATTTTTCTTGATTTGGTAAATTAGCTATTTCTTAAATTCAGAAGTCTATAGGAAAAGGGGAAACAACTTCTGACAAGCATTATCTTAAACCTTTCACACAATCTGTGGGCACTAACCTAGAATTGTGTGTGTGTGTGTCTGTGTCTCTGTGTGTGTGTAGTATGAGAAACAGCATATGGCAAAAAAACCAATTTTATGAACACTGACAATAAATATAAAAGTACAATTTTAAATTAGCATTACTGCTGAAAGGATCCCAAAACCTGATTTGCCTGTGTCTTATTTCTTCCTCCAACTCTATTTTTTAACTTCAGTTTGAATAGCACCTGTAATTAAGGAAGAAAACCGAGCCCTTGGAGCTAGGTAGGACTTCCAGCTATTGATCTGTGTAAACCCAGCTTATACTGTCAGGGGAGAAACAGTCAACTGCTGAGCTGCTTTGTCACTGACATAAGCTGAGAGAGGATTTTTTTGTCTATACTGTTTATACACTAGTCTATAGACCTGCTGGCTGGTTGAATTTTAAAGAGTGCGGAGGTTTAAAGACTTGTCCCCTGAGGGATGCTTCTGCCAGTTGGGAAGCGAGCTGAGGCTGTTTTGCAGAAGTGTGTGCATGTGTGTTGCTTTTGGAAGAAGGGAGGGGGAGGGTGTGAAATATTGAACAACTAACTGGGAAGCATTCTTCTTAATTTGAGTTTTAAAATTGATGTGAACTATGTTACTAACCAGTAAATTAAAAGACAAACAATGAAATTTGAATGGTATCTTCATTGTGACAGAAATCATATGAAAATTTTGTAGGGAGATGTCTACGTAGTCTTCATATGTGTAGTAAGTGTGGTTACTGGCTTCACTTTATGCCATACAAGATGAGGATTAGCAGTGGTGAAGTGAATTTCTCATTGTAATGAACTGCTTTAAGTTTAAGTCACTTAAATTGTTTCAAATTCAGTGGCTCTTTTTAATTATGTAAGGGAAATTTTGCTAGTGGTGAAACATTTAGCTTTTTCTAAATATGGAGTCTATGTCATATTTTCAAGGTACATGTTCACAAGCAAACCTGATACTTTGCCCTAGAGACAGAAGATTGCTTTTTTTACATGGGTGTTTTTCTTTTTGCATTAGTGATTTAAGGCTTGTAAAGCTTCTATAGATACCAACATTGGGATTTTACAATGCTTTATTTTTAATGGACATCTTATTATAGGCTACATTTTAAAAGAACATGAGGAATTCTGTCTTAAGATACTCAATATTGTGTGTGTAAGTTTTAAGTATTCAGATATTGATGGGCTCTTTGGATTTGTTTTATTGGTAAATGGAAATAGGTAAGGCATTTTTTGGGGGGTTATTAATACAATAAGATATTCATTCTTTTTTAGTAGAAAATATTCTCAAAAATCTCTTTTTTGTCTTATAAAATTTTCTGACTTTGAACTTGTATCTTTAGTTCTAAACTTTAGCTTCAGTATCAGAGTTAATGTTTTTCATATATAACAAAATAATTATTTTCTAGGTTTCTTTTTGGCCAGTGACCAATTATTTGCATTTTGTTATGATCACTAATGTTATAATCAAATTTGTATATAATATTAAAAAGTTTTTAAATTATTTTATAAAAATAAATAAACTTATTTTATAATGATTATAAAATCAGTGCAACTTTGAAAATCACTAATATTATTTTCTGTGCTTAGTTAAAAAACTGATTTTCATATTAGGCAATTTTTAAATGAACAGTGCACAATAGGTGGTTTGTTGTTTTAAAATTTAAAGATTTGTTTTTTAGATACACATTTCTTTGAGTGTTATTTGAAGGAAAACGAGTACTATTGTAGAATTTACCAAGAATTGAAACATAAATGTGTTTATTTAGCTGCAGAAAGTTTTTTTTTTTAACTGTCTTACTATGGGATATGTAGAGTTGTTATACCTCTCAGTAATTCATTCTGCTGCCAACTTCATTCCCTTTTCTCTGCCTGCATTTTAATTGAAACAACATTTATATTTTTGAGCCAGGATCTGTCAGAAGTCCCTGTGGCTAGTCTGTGGTACAAGTAGCAGCAGACGTAGCTTACCCATATGGTGCGGTGCTTCTTGTAAAATCCATATGGCCTTGTTGAAGGGAATCCCAGCGGGGATGTGAAGGGTGTTAATACCCTTCAGGCCAGGCCTTTCCCTCCTGGGGCTTCCGTGGCATTGTCAGTGCAATCTGCCAAAGCACAAACTTAATTCCTTTTTAATAATCAATTATTTTAGTTGAGGAACCTGTGCTATTTTTCTTAAGAAAAAAACTTTTTTCCCCTAGAAAATGTCTCCAAAAAGTTTTAACTGCATATTAAAAATATTCTAAAGTGTTTTATTTTATTTGCAATTTCAGGAAGTACTGCAGAGTGTGCCAAAGTTCTGTTTTCCCTTTGATGTTGAAAGGTACAGTATAAGTTGTCATTTAAAATAACTTTAACCCATCTTAATGGGCAACTTCAAAATTATTACATGTATTTTTTTTAAATAAAATGAAATCTTTTGCAACAGTCTCTAATGAAAAACACTAGAGGTTGAATAATTTTTAGAATGAATAAATATTTTAAATCATTATATCTTTTGTTTTCTATAGTCATTTAGATGTCTTAAGATTCTTTTTGTTCTTCAGGTACATATTATAAACACTAGCAAATATTAATGTATCTTCAAGAATCTTAGAATTGTGTCTTTTAAGAGTATATATGTATACACACGTATGTGTATATATATATATATATACACACACAAATATGTGTACATATATACATGTCTGTCTATCTTCTCTCTCTCTCTCTCTCTCTCTCGGTTTCTATTTCACTTCACCCTAATTGAAAAGACCATCTGTATAATATTGTAAAATTTCATAGCTAGTTGTCTCTCAAGAATGGCTTAATAGAAATAGTACAATATTATGGAAGGCTACAGGGAAGCCCTCCTAGCAGTTTTGAAAATCTCATTATGTTTGTATTTTACTGAACAAATACTGCATGAATAGAGCATTACCTGTGTGTGGTTGGAATTTCACAGAATATATAGCTCTTTGAGTATAATAATAGATCATTTCTTGCTTTTCATGTGATTTTTACACCACATTATCAGTTTTTTAAAGGCTATGATATGATGGGGAGTTTAAAAGATAATTTATTTGAGGAAAATATTTTTCCTAAGTGAAAATCTAAAGTTTTATATTAAAAATAAATCTTTTGAATGATGGAATAATTGATAACTTATGTTACTGATGAATTATACCCCTTGTTTTACCTCTTCTCTGGGAAATCAGCTGTAGCTACTAAAGATGCAATTTTCAAATTGATAGCAAGAATAAAATATAGCTCTAAAAGGAAGAAAAGCTACGAAAGTATATTGTGAACACTGGGCACTAGAGGTCACATTAGGGACTGGAGGTTGCTTGAAGATTGTAAATTTTTCTTTTAAACTGTCCCCTGAAAAAAATTTGTTAAATTTTCAGTATTGAAAATGTAGTATTTGTGGCAATTGAAAATAATTTGTACTTTTATTTTTGTGCACTACACTAAGGTAATTTATTTCCTATTACTTAAACCTGTGCCTATTTCAAAACCAGGATGTAGGTGTTATGGATATTTTGTTGTGGGATAATAATACGGATGTTCAGTTATGGTTGTCTAATGGCAATATTATAGCCAGTTACATGAAACATATTTACATATTTTCAATAAAATATTTAAATTAATGATGTATAACATACTGCAGTGTGATACGTACCTAATATGTAGATGAAAATTTGTGCTGTTTACTTTGTAGAGATTGTATTCTTATTTTGTACTTGTAAATTTATTCTCAGTATGTGGTTAGCCCTAGAAGAGAATGCTTAAAAAATGCTAATATATTCTCTATGGTACTTTATTAGGTAAGATAACAGAAGAAGCAATTAAACAGAGTTGATGGTGGCTATCTTTAGATTCTAAAGCAACATGGTTTGCTATCCTAGCAGTCTTGTGATTGGAGGGAAAGAGAAGTTAGAGTTAGCAGATCAGGCATCATGCTTCTCACATTCGCACTGTCAGTAATTGTATTTTTAAAATTTATGATATATCTTACAAATACTTTTAGGCATATGAAAATGTGTGCTATAATACTTTATGATTTCTATTAAGATATTAGTATACACTGAATTACTTGGTATTTAGGTATTATAATTTATTTTGAGCTTATACATTTTACACTCATTTTGGTTTTGGAATATAGTTCTGTATTTGAGAACTAACTTACTGGAAAGGTGAAACCAATGTTCCATATAAACATGTTTCTGTTTCTTTAAAAAGAAAATTGTCACACAAAGCTAATGTTTCACAATATTACTGTATTTTAGAGTGTCTCAAAATCAAGTTGGACAGCACTTTACCTTTGTACTGACAGACATTGAAAGTAAACAGAGATTTGGATTTTGTAGACTCACATCAGGAGGCAAAATTTGCTTATGCATCCTTAGGTGAGTATTTTTATTAAAAATTTTGGATGTGCAGTAGATTAGTCATGTTTCCTTTACTGTACTTTGTAATGCTTGGGATAATTAAACAATGCTTATAATTTTTTTCTTGTCTCTAAATCTAAGTCAAAAATAATTTTATTTGCTTTCTGTATGTAGCATCGATTGGGTTTAAAGATTTGTTTAGTAGCAGAATTTTTCTTGAAATAATTGACTCTTAGATTAGTTTTTTTATAGGTTTATCTTTTAAAAATCAAATGCTAGGGTAGGAGTTAATACATGTTTTACACATTAAACATTCAAATAATTAATATGTGCTATTTTCAATTGCTGAACCAGAATTTGGATTTTGAAAGTGAATTGCTGCTTTAAGGCAAAGATTGTAACCTGGTGATTCTGGGTAGAAGAAGTTAGAGGTATTTTGTTTAGCTACATGGTGTCTGAAAAAAAAAGATGTTTCTAACTTATAAAATTTTTGCATAAAATTCATGTTTCTAATACCTTTTGATAAGTGGGAATATTTGTTAACACTGGTCCTGCACTCCCCAATAGCCACAGTGAGCAGCAGATTTTCTGTGTCATGCGTTTTCTAGTTTTGCCAGAAATCCCATTTGTGCTACTTCAATTCCTTACATTATCTGCTTTGACTCAATGTAAGAGTGTGTCTCTTCTGTTAACTTGAGATTTGAATTGATGTTTGTTGAGAAAGGAAGGTTGTAAAGTTTAGTGCCCATCTAATATGTCATGATGAATTAGAAATAATTCATCACATTCTATATTCCATGTAGCATCCTTCATGTTATAATATGGATATTGGTCAAACTAGAGTCTATAGATATGTTTGTAGGAAAAGAACCAACATTTAATTTAATTAGAATATTGCAAAGAAAGTGTTAGTATCAAATTTTTGTCTACTCTGTGGATTTGCTGTTTAGCTACATTCGTATCATTTTTTGAGTTATCAATTAACTCAGAACATTAGTTACAGTTGGATTTTTTTTCAATCTTTTTTTAAAATAAGATTTATTTTTTATTTATGTGTTTAAGACCTGGAGTATAGGCCAGAGGTGCAGGGAGTAAGAGGATTCACTAGAAACAGAGTGGGAAATAGAACAGGTGGCTCTACTGAAATATACTGCTGAGGGGAGCCTGGGCAAGATAGGAGAGGTCTGCTGCACCAAGTAGCTTATCTCCCTGGTCTGGGATGAACTCATGCTGCAGTGGTTGGCAATTGCTTGATAGCCCTGAGACTTTAACCTCTGCATCACCAGGAAGGCCCCCTTTTTTTTTTTTTCAATTTTTATTCAAAATAAATGCTTAAATGCTTTAAAAGTAATAGAATATAGATGTTTCTTCATTCTTTTAACAGAATTTTAAAATATGTTTTATTTAATTCTGATATCTTTTTTAATTTTTACATAGTATTTGATTTCTCCCCTGTGATATACTTCTGTAGTTATCCCCCCCCCCCTCACCATAACACCCATGCTCTGTCACCACAGTTCTTGTGAGCTCACTTTTTATCTGGATAAGAATTGTATTTAAAACTTTTGCCCAGAAGAGTTTTATGCTTCACACTATACATTTATTCTTCTCGCTTGAAGCCATTTGGTTTGGAGTAGGCTGGAGTGTGACCGTGGGTGGGTAGAACTCCTTTTATCATTTTGTTTCATACTAAAAGTTGAAAAACTACAGCTTTAAAAGGGGTATAATGGCATATACTCTTCTCAAGAAGGGTTTCCCTAATAGAAAGGCTGGAATGGAATGTGAATTTTTCCTAGTGAATTTTCACATCTTTTCATTAACAATATCAAATTTATGGAAAAGTTTCAGGAATAGTAGAATGAACTCTTGTATACATATCACCTAGATTCACAATTGTTAACATGTTTGTCTTTGTTTTCTCCCCAACCTCCATGCATGCAAATTCTCTTTCTCTGTTTCTTATATTGTTGGCTTTTGCTGACACATTTGAGAGTAATTTATAATCATTTTTTCTGTAATATTTGATTCTATATTTTACAGCTCTCCTCCACTGCCTTCCTGTAGTATGAACTTCCCTCTTTTGAGGTTTTAAAATATTTTGGATGCATTGGAACCTATTAAAATTTAGTAAATAGTCATTAAATGTCCAGAATAATCCCTATGAAAAACATGCTTGTAGAATAAACATTCTTAGAAATTTTTGTTTAAATTAGGAATGCACATAAAATGAGGCCAGCATTACTCTGATACCAAAAGCAGACAAGAACATCACAAAAGAAGAAAACCGCACACCAGTACTGTGATAAACACAGATGAAAAATCCTCAGCAAAATCAAATCAGCAATACATTAAAAGGATCATACATGTGACCAAGTATGATTTTTTTCCAGGTATTCAAGGATGGTTCAGCATCTCCAGAGCAATCATTGTCATTTGTCACATCAACAAAAGCAAAGAATATTGTGTTAGTAGATGCAGTGAAAATATTACAAGATTGAACATCCATTTATGATAAAAACTCTCAGTAGTGGGAGCAGAAGAAACATACTTCAACATAATAATGATGATATATGACAGATCTAAGCTAACATCATATTTCATAGTGTAAAATAGGAAGCTTTTCCTCTTAGATTGGGTACAAGACAAGGATGTCCACTTTCTTTTTTTTTTAAAGATTTATTTATGCATACAAGAACTGGGGTACAGGCCAGAGGTGCGGGGGGTAAGAAGATTCACCAGAGACAGAGAGGGGAACAGAACAGGCAAATTGAAACACACTGCTGAGAGGAGCAGTGGGCTAGTCAGAAGTCTCTTGCGCCATGTGGGCAGCTCCCTGGCCAGGAATCAAACTCATGCTGCAGTGGCTACAGATAGCTTGGTAGGTTGCATTTTAACCCCTTGCGCCAACAGGGAGGCCCTGGATGTCCACTTTCAACACTGCTATTCAAAATAGTGTTGGAAGTCCTAGCTAGAGCCATTTGGCAAGAGAAATAAAAGAAATACTGCTTGGGAAGAAAGTAGTAATATCAGACAACATGATAATATATATAGAAAAACCAAAAGATTCCACTAAACACTATTAGAAAAAAATATATCAGTACAGTGAAGTGACAGTCTACAAAATCAATATAGAAAAATCATTTAAATTCCTATATGCAAACATTGAACAAGAATAGAAAGAAATCAAGAGCACAGATCCACTTACCCATTTACAATCCATCAAAAAGAAATACTTAGGAATAAACTTAAAGGAATTGAAAGAAATAAAGAGAGAAGCAGACAAAAGTAAACCAAAATAAGTCCCAGAATTGGAGTGCAGAACTGAGTCTAGTAGAAGGAGAGAGTGGAGTATAGAGAACAAAGTGGAGAAGGGATCCAATATACTGTGGAAGATTATGGGATTTCTGGAGGTGGGTATGGTGTGATAACATACATCTGAAGAGGTGTGAACTTATACTCCTGAATCATATACAGTGTTATAAACCCAAGTTACTTCAATAGAAAGTAATACAGTTACAAAATAATTTTATTATATTCTTAAGAGGTAGAGAAAGGTTGTTTAATATTAATATAAAAGCAAGGAATAGAATTTATGTAGTAATATTTGGGGGTACTGGGAAAAAGTAAGGTAGAATTACCTAATAAAGTGTTCATGGAATTGGTTGATAAAATCAGGTCTTTTCATTTAAAGGCCCTTTTTTTGGTTTGTTTTTTTAATTACTGGCTGTGCTGCTTTCAGGACTTAGATGAGAGGGAAAAAAATCAACCTGTGCTAGTATTCTGAATATGTGTTGGTTACTGATTAAAACTTTGGATTAATGTTTGCATTCAATTTTGTTGGAATGCCCTGGTTTTAGAATTCTAAGTTAATTCTAAGGCCTAAATTATGATTTCTTAGAATCTGGCCTTAATAAAACTAAAATTTATTAAGAAAAATGCCATAATACTTGTTTTAAAAAACAAGACATAAAAAGTACCAATTTTTCTAGTAACAATAGTGATATATCTAATGTCTTCTCTGATTAGAGAAGTCAAAATAAAAAGCCTCTTACATTTGCAACACATAACCATTACTTAAATTTTGGTATTTCATTTTAGTCATGAAACATGTTAATTTAAACATTTTTTATTGAATAACAAGCTGAATAGTTATAGTCTTCATTCACATTTTAAAATGAATGAATGAATGTATATAGCAGTTTATAAATTAAAATTGAAGCTGCTGTGGTTTTCATGTTGTCCTTGATAAGTGTTGAGGAGTTTTGCACAAGTTTAATCTGGCAGTCCTTTCTTTTTACTCTTTTCTTTCCATGAAAGTGCAAAGATGATTTCCATTGGGATTATATTTTTTATCAGTCACTTTTATCTCTACCTAAAATATATTAAGACTATTGAATTTTAAAAATACTCTCCAAGTTGTCATTTGTGGAAAATAGTGCATTTATATGGAAACCTGCTACATGTTTTTTTGTGAGATGATACTGGATTGATTATTCCAGTGTTCAGTCTCAGTTTCAAATGATTTAAAATATCCTAAACAGTTCTATTGTTTAAATTTGTGTTTTAATCCAAATCTTAAAAGAAAATACTATTCATAAAGTTTTTGTTGATATTAAAATTTTATAATGTTTTATGTCTTTAAAGAGTAGTCATAATGAAATTGGAATACATTTACGTATGTTTAAGATATTTTGATACAAAATAAAAATTAAGTACAAATTGGTAGTAAATTTTTATGAGGAAAGTTGAAAATAACTGCTATTTGTGAAATAGTGAGTCTTTTAGTTTACAGCTGCTAAGTGACTTATATACAATATTAATAAAAACTACTTTTTTCCTTAGAATTCTAAACTAAAAATTTTGCACCTAATGCTTTAAAGCTACTTTTTTCTATTCCTGGCTGATGCTAGTAGAAGGTTGGAAATAATTTGTTTACCTCAAAGTTCTAAGCTGGAAAATTTGAATGCAATGCTCTAAAAACCAGGCATTATTTCCTCCTGGATTTATGCTATTATATGATTTGAAAGTATATTTTTTGATTTCTATTTATTTTGTTAATTTTTAGAAGAAATATTAGAATTCATTTTTTTAATAAAGGTTGATATTTAGTTTTTCAGTTTCCAGCCATTATTAAATGCTTTAGTTCTTTATATGCCATTCTATCCTTGTTTCACAAAATTTAAAAAATACCCTGAGTTATTACTGATTTAAGTATCACCATTGTTTGTATATAGAATTGGTCTCATATGCTAGCAGAAATCCTTTTTCCACCTAATTTGATTAGCATAATTTTACAACTATAAAATTGTCGCCAAGGGTTCAAAATGAAATACTCTAATAAGGAAGACAGATTGATGTTTAGAACCTTTGTAGTCCTTCCCCACTCCTCACCCCCTTTAACTCATGCCAAACTTGAAGCTTTCACACTCTTCATTTGGTCAAATCCTTCAGAAGCAGAATGTTTCAATTTTACACATTTTGTGTCAATTTCCCAGACAGAAAAACAGCCTCTAGACTTTAGACGTTTTTCTACGGAAAGGCAGTTTCCTTAGTTTTATTTGATTACTATAAGTTAGGTTCCTGCTGATCACTTAGACTGTTAGTGGTTACCTGACCATTTGACAAAAAGCATTTCCTTTCCTTTATTTAACCTTTGACTTTTGAATGTAAAAGTTTTATCAGCTCTATAGTGGAAGCACAAGTGTGAGAGAAGCCTTCTCACTGCCACAAAATGGACTAAGGCTATATACATGTGTATCTTTTGCCTTATGTCTGTGTAAAAAATTAAGGAAATAACCTTATATCTAGTCTTTGAAGAATTTTCTGCTTTTTGTTTTAAAATAATTGATCCTAATTTGTTTGTTTTATATTTATAAATGTTTACAAAACAATGAAGTATTCTTTTTCTTTGTTAAAAAAACTGATGTTCAGTTTTATAAATTTCAAGTAAAATATCTTATTCAGCCATTTTAAGATGTTGAATACTTTTTTTAATTTTCTAGTATTTTTGTGGTTAGTTGTAAGAAAACAGATTTTTGACTATTTTGGGAATTGTAAATTTAATGAAAAAATATTTTAACAGTGGTAATTAGCTAGTTTAAATCCTAAAACATTAGTTAAAAATTGCTTTGACAGATATTGTTTGAAAATTATATGTAGAAATCACAGAAATAAAAACATGAGAATAATATTTCTTAATTCGGCAAGGTAAGCCTCTGTAATTTATAATTATTTTGCATATTTGACATGGACTTTGTCTTTAAAGTTTGCAATTCAATCTTGTTAAAAAATTTGAATTCAAATTATTAACTACTCTGTGTACTCTGGCCCGTTTTCTTGTCATATAAAAAAAGTAAGCAGGACATCCTGTTGAGCTGTTGCTCTGTATCAGGAATCATAAATTCGATTATCTACCAATCCTGGGTAGAACACTCAAATGAGGTAATAGGTTAGGTGTCTGACAATAGGAAATTGCCGGTGGGTATGTTGATCCAAAAAGCACATGCCATTTCCATTACACATCTCTTTGTGTTTGTGGCATTGTGAAAAATGTGTGACCAATATTGCTAGTTCTTCTAATTTATAAAGGCGTAAGAAATTCTGGTTTTTAAGTGAATTATTACAGATTTAGAATTAACTTATTCAATAAAACTACAACAGTGGTGTGTTGAACAGAATATGCTCATAGATTAGATGTTGTCTGCAAGTAGCCAGTTTGTACTTTTTACTTTATTTATTTTTAAGATTTCTTTATTTATACAAGCACTGGGTACAGTCAGAAGCATGGGAGGGTGAGAGAATTCACCAGAGCCAGAGCAGGGAACAGAACAGGCAGATTGATGAAATACATTGCTGAGGGGAGCAGCGGGCGCTGCAGGAGAGGTCTGTCGCAACTTGTGGGACCCTCTCCGTGGGCCAGGGATTGAACCGGCGCTGCAGAGGCTGCAGCGCTCAACCACTGCGCCACCAGGGGAGGCCCTGTACTTTTTACTTTAGATGCTACTCTTTATTTGAACGAAAATGCTCTGATTTCCTTGAGAGTTCTAGCTCCACTTTGAAATATGGTATTTTTACTAAAAAGCATGAATGATATGCATTTTTAGAAAATAGGTTTCATCAAGAACTAGTATGGCTTGTATTAAATAATTCTTCAGGTTATAGTACTTACTGGTGTGTAAGACAGTGCTGTAGAAATGAGTCTGTCCCATTGTCTTTCATGAACAAATTATGATAGCGAATAATGTTGGTTGGACAATAGGTAATACAATTATGAGTCATCTTATGATTAAAATATAATATGGTGCTGAGTAAAGATACTATAATTTACCCAGTAGCTTTTCTATTATGATTTTAGGGTACTCCTGTTTCAAAGAGCATCATTCATAGTCACTATTAAATCAGACAGTTAAGAGAAAATACAGACAGAATGCTATTTTTCTAATCTGTGTTGATTTTTTAATGTATTGCAAAATTCATTTTATGTGTATGTACCTTTGTCAGCATACAGTTGTGTAGTAAGAATATCACATTATTTTCTCTTTAAAATTTATCTGTTTTAATGCATTGAAAACAAAATAATAAGATTTGTAATTGATACTACTACACTGGTTTGTTGTGATTTATCTTCTGTATGAACACATATATATGAATGAACAATAAAAACATGAATACATTTTAATTATACTAAGATCCTTAGTTTCAAAATAAATAGTGTAGATTTTATTTTGTATAATTGATTTTTAGATTTACTATTTTGCTTTCAACAATTAATTAAATATTTATCAATCAAAATGAATTTTAAATTTTGTTTTTGACACCTAACAGCTATTTTAGCTGTCTTTTAAATGTAAGCTTTCTCTTCTTTTGATAATTTACTTTGAAAGTTACCATCTTACATGAACATCACTTTTTGAAGACTTCAGCACATAATTCTATTGTATAATGTATTCTTTTCAGTAATATTTTAAAAGAAATAATTGTAGTTTTGTTTTTGAAGATTTTTAATATTAGCTTTTGTTTAATATCTTATTGTACAATGATAATTTTTATCTTATGAATGATTTTGTTGCTCACCATGCAAAAGTGATTTTAGATACTGCTGACCTAAATGTGCATAATCAATAATCTTCATATTAGAACTTTGCATTGTGGTTATCTTATGAAAACTAACAATAATATATATATATATATATATATATATAATTTCACTGTCACTTTAAAGAGAACATGGGTATATTTCTCTTCTGTCTTCTGGCAAAAAACTGTAATAATATAAATTTAGTGTTCGTCTTCTTGTTTCTTGATTCCAAATGTGATACATACATATATATATATATATATATATATACATGGCACACACACATAACACACACACACACATATATATATTGCTTACGTTATCATTTTTTTTTTACAGTTACCTGCCATGGTTTGAAGTATATTACAAGCTTCTTAATACTCTGGCAGATTACTTGGCTAAGGAACTGGTAAGCTATGTTGCCTCTACCCACTCATTTTTTATTATTGTAAAATATACATAAAATTTATCAGTTTTTAAAAGATTTATTTATTTTTGCATACAAGAACTGGGGTACAGGCCAGAGGTGTGGGGAGGGGGTGAGAAGATTCACCAGAGACAGAATGGGGAACAGAACAGGCATGTGGGACCCTCGCTGGCAGCCAGTGGTCGAACTGGCACTGCAGAGGCTGCGGGCAGCTTTGCAGCCCAGCGTTCAACCGCTGCGTCACCAGGGGAGGCCCCTTAGTGTAGTAATCTTACTTAAATTGTATGTTTTCCTTAGAAAGTAGGTTTCAAACCTAAAATGAAACATGAAGGCATTCTATCTTCTGATAAAAAGTTGTGCTGCTATTTTACTCGATCCTATTGTTTTTCTTGGATTTAATTATTTATTTAAATGATATCCTTCTATAAATAGCATCAGCGTATTTTAGGTAAGTTTTGCCAAATACATGTTCATCCTAAATAGAAATATTGTTTTCTTTCTAGATAAAGAGATTTTAATATCTTTTCCACATTTGTTATATTTGAATATTTTCTTATCAGTAACCTGGAACATTCTTGTTGAAAGCAGTTATATAAACCTTGTTTCATATGAGAAGGCACTGTGACGTAATTTTACTAAATTTTAATTGCACTTGCTGGTATATATATTTTATTTTAAAAATGTACTTTTCTTTAAACTCTAGGAGAATGATTTGAATGAAACTCTCAAATCACTCTATAACCACCAAGTACCAAAAGCAAACACACCTGTCAATTTGAATGTGGTAAGTAATCAGTAATTGAATTTTTATTCATAGTAGTTTCTCCTTTGGGAAGATATGTACCTTCCAGAAATTCTGCCAAGTCACTTCGGCTCTCAGTAAAAGTTCAGTGCTGTTGCTAACATGCTGTTGCTAACATGAGGAGATGATGTTATTGAGCCTTTTTGACACGTGTTAACTATCATAACATGATATGTTGGATGTGTATTTTAGTAGTTGTTAAATCATAAGTTTTTTTTTTTAAATTATACACAAAAAGTAACCAAATTTGTGAGAATATTTTCATTGTGAGGAACATTGATTTTTGGGTGAAATCTATCAATAAGAAAGATGTCAACATGCATATATAGATCTTCCACACATATACAAAATACCCTTTATAAAGTATACACAATATACATTAAGAACTGAAAATATGGCATGTAGTATATAATTAATTTTGTGATAAAAATTCTGGGTGGAAAACTCTTTTCCCTATGCTTTACTGTATCATCTAGCATAATTATTAAACACTAGAAATATGACTAAAATTTGTCAAGACAGCAAGCTTGTGATAATCTAGAATATCTGCTATTGAAACTTTAAATGGATTGTCCATTCTATATCACACCACAATGGTATTTGAGGGAATTTGTAAATGTTCAAGTTAATGTTCACAGAGTATGAATGTTTCATTAATAATCTTCATTATTTTGGCATGCTGAAAATAATGTGTAAATTTATACTGATTTAGTTCTTCTAAAATAATAATTAACCTCTGTACAAATAAGGAAGAAAATATGTAATGATGCAAGAAAAATTGAAAGAAAAATGAAATATATAATAGCACTAATAGCTCTTTTGCTGTCTTAGCAAGATAAGGGAATTGTTTTCCTTCTTACATTCTTTCTTTAGTAATAACTTTCTTCTTGCCCATATTGTCATCTGTAATTTCATGTAATAATATTTTCTTCCCTTATTCTATTCTTTATGTTCCTGTTGTTAGCTCCCTAATTTTAGATGACTGGCACTTCATGTAGTCCTTAATCTTGTCTCTCTTCTTTCAGCTCTTTTTACAAATAACTGTCAGAATAAACTTCCTCAAACTTGATAAATTTTTCTACTAAAAATATTTTTTTAGCTCCCCATTTTCTATCAAATTCATCTAATACTCTTGGCCAGAATTTCAGGACCACCTTCTTCTTTGCCCCAATCTAATGTTTCACTTTGGTCTCAGTTTTTCCTAAATTGATTCTCTAGTAACATATTGTTCGGTTCACCTTTCTTTTTGTAATTTAGAAATAATTGATGTATAACACTATATTAATTTAGGTATACAAAATAATGATTTGATTTTGTATATATTTTAAAGCTCACCACAATAAATCTAGTTAACATTCATCATATTACATACTTAATTTTTTTTCTCATTCATCTACTTCAGTGCATGCCTTCCCTTTTTTAGTAAATTCTCTTTGTAGACTATTCATCTTTATTCTAGAACTAACTCAATTCCCAACTTTGTGAAACATCTTGTCATAGTTGTTGAAAGTATTATTTTTCCCCTATGATCTCTGTGCCAAATGTCTTCATCTTGTGAATCTAGTACTGCTGAAGAGTTAAAGAAATGTGGGTGCTATGAAAATAGAGGAAACCAGCATAGAGTATAATAGAGAAATACATGTTTTCTTTCAATTAGAATATCATATTTTTATAGGAATAAATAAATATCTTACAAAGTATGTTTCAACAGTACTGACTATTTCAACACGTAAGCCTTTATTTAAGAATCTTGAAGATTCCTAGACTTCCTAGACTTCTTTTTTTTTTAAAGATTTATTTATTTATACAAACACTGGGTACAGTCAGAAGCACAGGAGGGTGAGAGAATTCACCAGAGCTAGAGTGGGGAACAGAACAGGCATACTGACGAAGAAATACACTGCTGAGGGGAGCAGCGGGCGCAGCAGGAGAGGTCTCTGCAGCATGTGGGACCCTTGCTGGTGGCTGGGGGTCAAACCGGCAAGTGCCTGCAGAGCCCACCAGGGGGGGCCCAGATTCCTAGACTTCTTAATGCCTATAGTTACAAAACTTTGATTTAAGTCGCAGTCACCAAATGAGTGATGCTAAGCAAAAAAAAGTCAATCTTTTGATGATCTTTTCTCCATCTGAGAAATCAAATGAGTTGATTTTTGAGAGAGCTATTTGGATAACTAGAAATATCTAGATATACCATGAAAAGCAATTCAAATGTTAGTGAATTGAAGTTTTGTTTCATATGGAATTTGTTTTTTTTTTTTTTGTAGCTGAAATAATCTTGTTAAAAAGGTTTGAATCAATAGTTTGTAATAACTTTCATAGCTGTTCTCAAACTGCAGAATTAAATGTACTGGTTGGTAAAAACATTGCCTTATCTTTTTTTTTAAATAAAGATTTATTTTATTCATGCAGATGTGTGGGAGGTACAGGCCAGATGTGTGGGAGGGTGAGAGGACTCACCAGAGACAGAGCGGGGAACAGAATAGGCTTACTGACTGAAATACACTGCTGAGGGGAGCAGCGGGTGAGACAGGAGAGGTCTGCTGCATCATGCGGGTATCTCACCGGCCAGCCAGGATTGAACCTGTGCTGCAGAGGCTGCGGACAGCTTCACAGCACTGAGCTCATCTGCCTGTGCCACCAGGGCAGGCCTTACATTGCCTTATCTTTGAGTAGAGTGTGTTTCATTTGATCTCAACAGACTACTAAAGCAATTTGTCCAGTGCTGTGTTGTCATATGAGTAGCAAAGTTTATCTTCAACTACTAGTAGAAATTCTAGTTTTATGGTGTCTGATTAAAACTGATGATCATGGGGATTTTTGTTTCTCCGCAAGTAGGAAGAAAATTTTTGTTTTCAGAATTTCCATTGGAAAATTTGATAAGTCTTGAGATACTTTTAGGCTTTTCTTACAATTTAATATTTTCCTAAATGCTCTCACACATGAATATTTCAATATTTGACATTATAACTATTAGAATATCTCAAATATTTTATGAAAATTTTTATTTAATATAAATGCTTATTTTAAAATCCTTAAATATGCACAGCATTCTCTATTCTCACTTTATGGAAATTCTTTTAATAGTTCTAACAAAATTAGCAAATCAGCATTTCAAAATAACATGTTTAATGTTATTCAAATATTTATAATGGATGATATGCTATGCGACATGGGTTTCTTACAGATACACAGCAAATTGTTGTGTAAATTTATCCCATGACAGTAAAATATTAATTTTTTCTCTCATATATTATAAGAACCAAGAGATATTTATTGCCAGTGAGCAAGCCCTGAAAGATCAGCCCTCCCTAGTACCGGTGAGTTAAAAGAGGACATTGGCTTCTAAAAATCACTGTGAAATTGGGAAGATAACTATCTATTTCTCTGTCTTTAAGATTCACTCCAATCCTTTTAGAAATGGCAAAAATTTTAGAAAATCAATCATTTGAAGTCTATTTTCTGTTTATACTATCCTTTTAAGTATTGTGTTTTTTTTTAAACCCTCCAAATTAAAGTAGCCAATAAAGACCAAATCTACGCATAGTCTCCATTATCAATAGTAATATGAAGTGCATTCACAACTTGAGATTTCTTCTACATTTTTTGTCACAATGTCTCAGGAGACCTCATGATTTATCTCATTGTTTCTGTACCCTGGAAAATTATACATTATGACTGTGTTGACTAGCCTTTTCTTGACTAGTTGATCGATGCTCTATATTGAGTAGGATATAAATTTTCTAAAATACTATTTTCCAATCTTTAATTACAATAAAGTATTAAATATGTCCTAATGTGATTAAGATATTAAAATAATTTTGAGATTAATATGAACAGAAAATAAAACAATTTTGATGATTTAATTGTATTCTGATACTGGGTGATACAATTTGGAAACATGAACAACATGAAGGATGCACAATATGCTTTTTATATAAATATATTTGTCATTTGTTGTATTATGGAAGCTGTGTGATACTTGATTATTGAGTATACATGAAGGTCGTGTTTTGGAAAAGCAATTACATTTTTATGATGATTTGAACATTTAAAAATCACATTTTAATGTAGCTTTCTAAGTAATGTGTTGACTGTGTTGTGTGTGTGTGAGAGAGAGAGAGCGAGCGAGAGGAGGGAGGGAGGGAAGGAGGGAGGGAGGGGGTTGGGCATTAGGTGATGTCCATGTTTTGTCTTAATGAAGTTTTTTTCAGGATTCTCATTTCTATTCTGTTCAATTTTAAGATGAAATATTTTTATCTTACTCTTAACTGGGAGTTAATAGTAGATGCTATAATAGATGCTTTGGGAGTAGATGCTATAATAGTTTCTCATATTTGTATGAGAAAGATTTTGTTAAAGCTCATATAAACCTGCTGTATCATATGAAAATCTTTCAGATTTAACAAATCCAAAGCATCGGTGTTTGGCATTTATTGATTTAGCTGACACACACCTTTTTTATCTTTATCTCCATCTTTATGTAATGCTACCAAATTATCAATCTCCTTTTCTTATGTGATTTATTTCTGTTGATTAGCATTCCTACTTCATTGCCCCTGATGTAACTGGACTCCCAACAATACCTGAAAGTGTAAGTTTTCATTTTCTGTATTTTCAACTGAATTCATGTTTTAACTTTTTTTTTGCCTTATTGTTTAAAAAATCTTATATTAATTGAATATATTTTAACTGCCCTTCTTTATGAGAAATAAAGAAAAAATTAGGAATGATGGTGCTATCATTTTCTTCATTGATTTGCTGCTTACCCCATTTTTCATATCTGGTTGTAGATATGTTAAATTACTTGACAAAAACTATTTTTCCATTTGAACTCCTTCAGTAGGATCATGTATTCAATTAAGTCCTGAGTTCCCCTGTATCAGGTAGAGTAGCTCTCCCAAGAGATGACTTTTGTGGGTAGAAAATGAACATAAATAAAGGGAAGTACTTTCATATAAATAATTACTTTTTTATTTTTTAATTTTTATATTCCCCATAATACTTCAATGAACTGACTATATTATTTTTATACAAAATCTAGTGTTTTTTTTTTAAATCTTAGATTTCTTCTACTTGATTTTAAGTGATCCATACTTTGTACAATTTCAGGAATATTACAATAAATTATACAAATTACTAAATTTTACATCCTACTTAGGTCTTATTGTAGTTGTATTAGAGATAGTTTCTGTGTTTTAATAGTTATTACAAATTAACATCCTATAGAGAAGTTTACATGGGTAAGTAGAAGTGACAAATATGATTTTGCATACTGTGTGAAAATGAAATATCCCCTTACATAATTTTTTCAGCTTTCCTGAATCAGTAAGAATACTTAATCAAAAGTGAAAGAATCGGGCCTCCCCGGTGGCGCAGCAGTTGAGCGCTGGGTTGCGAAGCTGCCCGCGATCTCTGCGGTGCCGGTTCGATCCCCGGCTGCTCCCCAGCCACCGGAGGAGGGTCCCACATGGCGCGCAGACCTCTCCTGCCGCCCGCTGCTCCCCTCAGCAGTGTACTTCGGTCCTTCTGCCTGCTCTGCTCCCCGCTCTGGCTCTGGTGAATTCTCTCACCCTCCCGCGCTTCTGACTGTACCCAGTGCATGTATAAACAAACAAACAAACAAATAAATAAAATAAATAACATGCCTCTATAAAAAAAAAAAGTGAAAGAATCATCAAAAGGAAAAATTATCTCCAGGAATGCTTATTATTTTCTTCAGAAATCTATAATTCTTCCAAAAGTGTTTTTTTAAACAGACTGTTTGCTTTCTTAAAGTGCATGAGTTATGAGTGAATCAAGTCCAAGGAGACTTGTGTAAATTTTCTAATTAAAACCAAGACTGTCAATGGTGTTTTAGTACAGATGAATTGTTTTAATACAGATGAATATGAAAAGACTGCATTAAGCTGCTCTTAATTACTGTTGCTCTCTGATGTGCTTAAACAGAAAATTATATATAACTAATAAGAGAATCTAAATGTTAAGGGTAGGGCCTCCCCTGGTGGCGCAGTGGTTGAGCGCTGGGCTGCGAAGCTGCCTGCAGCCTCTGCAGTGCTGGTTTGATCCCCGGTTGCCAGGCGAGGGTCCCACATGATGCACAGACCTCTCCTGCCGCCCACTGCTCCCCTCAGCAGTGTACTTCGTCTGCCTGTTCTGCTCCCTGCTCTGGCTCTGGTGAATTCTCTCACCCTCCCGTGCTTCTGACTTTAGCCAGTGCTTGTATAAATAAAATAAATAAATCTTTAAAAAAAATAAATAAATGTTAAGGGTAATGCAATGCATCCCGATTTTTTGTATGTGGTAGAAATAATTTAAGAAATCAAATTAGATTAACACAATAAAGCAGGCCTAACATGGGCCATTATCAAGGAAGTTTTCCTTAAGAGAGAACCAAATACCTACCTAAAAATCTATCTCTTCCTTTGCCTGCATTGCACACAAGAAAATGATATTACCTGCTGAGTATTTGTCTAACATGAAAGGACTCAAATGTATGTTCTGGAGCAGCACTTCTTAAAGTTTAAGGTATACAGAATCACCAAGAGTATTTGTTTACAGAAAAGATTCTCAAGGCTATACTCTTGAAGGTGACTGTTTAGCAAGCCTAGGATGGGGCCTTGAAATCTGGCTTCTTTTACTAGTTGTTGGGGAGGGAGGGTAGGAAATATGGATCCATTGATTAACCTCTTAAAGACATTTTCCTAGAATAACATTATATTTCAAATAACAGTAGAATGTTACCTGCTACATGTGGCAATATAGTATTATTAGACTTAATTATTTTAATTAACATAATTTTTAATGACAGCCTTTGAATTTTAAGATTCTTTGGTAATGTGTCAAATGTTTTACTTTGTAATCACCATGCACTATAACCTACACAATTATTTTTCACTTGTACAGAGAAATCTTACCGAATATTTTGTTGCCGTGGATGTGAACAATATGCTGCAACTGTATGCCAGTATGCTGCACGAGAGGCGCATCATTATTACCTCCAGCAAATTAAGCACTGTGAGTACTTCACACTTCTCCTTTTAAGTAGAATGTATTGAGCATTTCACAAAAAGACCTACAAACCTCTGCAGATTTAGACATGTTCTATGTGTGCTCATAAGACAATATCTACATACTTTTTTGATGTATGGTTTTAATCTGACTCTTGAAGTACAAAAGTATGATTTATAGAAGGCCTTCTCAGATGCATTAAGTCAGGTTAATTATTTTTTCTTATCAGAGATGAGGTTTTTTTTCCTTTTTAACTCTCCAGAGTTCATTTTAGTGCCTTCTATCGTATAAAGAATTCTTAAGAGCTATTATGAGATCTTTGTTATTCACTTGTGACTTTTTCCATTGGAGCTATTTGAAAGAAATCAAGGGGCCATGATAATAGCTGCTATCCTAACCTGGTAATAGGTAGATTCATCTTTGTTGCCAAGTAGTGGTTTGGGAGTAGATGCTATAATAGTTCTGATTTGGAGGAGCTCTTCAGACTGATAATAACTTAAAAGTCAAAGTAGCATTTTTAAAAAATCACAGGTTTTATGCCGCTCACTAAAATGTTCTTTTGGATGGTCGTCATTATTGTGATAAAGGCAATGAGAATGAAAAGATTTTTCTTGGGTCAAAGAAAAGTATTCAAAAGTATTTTGCTAGATTTCCTAATCTTTTTCTACTTTAAACATTAAAAATTTAATAGTTTTGACATAGAAAATTTAAATTTAGTTTTAAGTAATATAGAAAATATTTATTAAGAATCATTATTTAATGTTGCATGGACTTGTGTCCTTTTAGATATGGCTAATTGATAAAAATAAGGTAATATTTTTGGTTCTCCTACAGTAAAAATATATAAATCAGTTCATGAAGTTTTAGTACTTTAGAGAAGAAAGAGTCTTATGATTTCCCTAGAATATCTATTTTCCTAGGCTGTCTATATAGTATTGAACAATGAGAAAGTTATTTTCAGGGAGGTAAGTGGCCACCAAGAAGACAAATAGCTAATTGGAGATGGTTAATATGAAACTGCATTTCCTGATTCTGAGTTTGGTTACATCTGTTACTCCACAGTTGAAAAAATGACTGTTTTAAAATTAGAATTAATGGTCCGATATGCCCACTGTTCCCCGCTAAAATTGAAAATATATTATTTTACATATTGAAAACCACATTATAAGCATTTATAGGCATATGTATAGGGAAGTGATATAGTCCCATTAGAGACTAAGTGCTGATCAGTGATATAATTATTTGCCTTTTTAATGTTATATTGAGAGATTAAATCTGAAGCATTTTATATTTTTATATATTTGAGCATGCTATTTTTAACTTATCATTGAAGTAAACCTTTCTCCACTCTCTTACTCCTCATGATTTTTCAGACATGATTTTTATTACGATTATAAAGACTATTTCTATATGGGTATTATTCTGAAGATTGAAAAGATTTTACAAACTCCTAGGAAGCCTAGGAAGTAAATTCTTATCAAGATTAATTCTTGGAACAGGCATTTATTACGTACCTACATTTATTACGTACCTTGGAACAGGCATTTATTACGTAGACTCTAGGATTCAGTAATAAGCGAAGTAAAAATCTAAACGATGTAGAGCTACATCCAACTGATGAAACAAATAAATGAATGAAAAAAAAATAGTTTCTCTGTCATATAGTAGTGAGCACCAAGGGATAAAAGATAAAATGAGTGTGTAACGAAGGTAGTGTGTTAGCAGAAATCTGAAGAGAATGAGCTAAGTGAATTAATACGTAAGTTGCTCTGTTTAGGAAAACATTAGAAATAAATCAGTAAAGTATTGGTGTTTCTTTTTTGTTGTAATTTATAAACATCTCAACAGTTTGAAGAATGGGGATAATAGTTTTCATCATCTCATCTGTAAAGATAAAGGATAAAGAACTGTGTGTGTATGTATGTGTATATACAGACATATGAAATCACATAATATACCTATATTTGAAATACTTATTATTAGCCATATTTTTATAATAGACCAGGTTTGCATTTTAAAGTAAAATTAAGAGGCTTACTTTTTAATATTATTTAAATTAATAAACTTTTTTAAAGAGTTTAGTGAAGTTTCTGAGACATCCAATGAAGGAAGAATTAAAATATTGATGCTTGTAAGCTTTCACATCCTTATTTTATATACCATAAAAGCTGTAATGTACTTAATACAAGAAATAGAATTTTACCCATCCTTCATTTTTCAGTTTATAGACAGTTTTAATTATTGAAAGAACACATAAATTATGGTGTTTTATATTCACAGGCTCACTATTATTTTAGGAATTTTGTTTGGACTTATACTTTGGCATTCATAATTATATTAAAATCATTTGTCATTTATTATTTATTATTGGACAACTGTGTAGCTTTCTGAGGGTTTTAGTGGTGATACACTGGTAGAGAATCAATTTGATTCATCAGCTCTCATCATTTCTTTAGGTGCTATTCGTAGTTTAAATGATAATTTACAATTCTCAGTATAGAGATAAATCTTTAAAAATTAACTTTGTAATGTTAGAAGAAATATCAAGAATATTGTTGTTTTTAAGATTAATGGTTTCCCCCATATATTAAAGTGTAATATTTCGTTAGAAATCATCAATGCAATATACACACAAACACACACACACACACATACATATATATGTATACACACAACATATGTTTAATGAATTGGGACATCATCAATTTTGTGGTTATTATTTTGTTATGTACCTTATCAAGTAGCAATTAAAGGGTTTCTGATAATCCCAAACAAGAACACTGATTTTATACATGCTGTAGGCAGGCCCTAGATGTTTAGCCCCAAGTGAATCTTGGGTAGACTAGCAGAACATCATATCAGAGTCTCATGAATTCAAAGCAAAGGAATAAATCATGATATTACAAGAGTATATCAGTTGACTTATTGCTGTTTTGTGACCAGAGGTAGGGAAGATTGCTGTTTAAAGTCATGTCATCAGTTCTCAAATCAGTCAGGCATGAAGTCTTGTCATATGCCTCTATAATTGTACCTCACCAGACTTTCTCTAACTAGTCAGCTGGGGCTGTGCATTTTGTCTCAAACACCCGGCAGGCCAGCGTCTGACAGGAGCATTCTCATCATCCTGTCAGTAATATGTTAACTAGAGTGTATCTTTGTGGCCTGTAGAAGCAGGTGGAAGAGAAGCTTCTCTTTAAAGCAGATGTCTAAATGTTAGCTCCTGTTTTGACCAATATTTAGTTGGTAAATATCACCCTCTATAAGTCTATAAGCACATTAGTTACAGGGATTTGATTGTGTAGTCAGTGTACTTTCTGGAATATTTAGAACAAGCAATGTGCTGTGAGTGCTGGAATTGTGTTAATAAACTGTAATTTCTCCCATTGATATAGTTGCCCCCAGGCAGTTAAGCATATGTTTTTCTCTCCTTCTCTCATTAATTCCAACAAGGGCATATGCAAAAAGAAATCTGTGATCCCTGGAAAATCAGCTATTAAAATGTAGATTTTATAGGTTTAGTTAACTGAAGGAGAATCCAGAAGATTTTAACCTCTCCATCTGGATTTTATATATTCTTGATTTATCTCTTAATGGTGCCACCTGTACCAGCATTTAATCTGAAACCTGAAGCACAGGGAATCTTTCTGGAGATTAGAATTGTACAGTTGGTAGGAGAGCAAAGATTATCCAGGTCTAGTTTCTTGTTCATATTATTGAAGTTTTTAAATTATTTTATTTTTAATGTTTTGTTGTTGTTGTTGTTTTTGCTGATAATGGTTCACAACACTGTATATGATTCAGAGACGAAGGATCGCACCTCTTCAGATGTATGCTACTACACTATACCCATCACCAGGACACCCAGAGTCCTCCACCATAGTCCATTGTGCCCACTTCCAAATTTGCTCTCTGTCCTCCCTCTTCTCTGGTAGTGTCAGTTTTATGGGTGAATTGCTAGAATTTGTTTTTGATGTGGTTTATCTGACCATTTGTTTCTCTATATTCCACATGTGATTGAAATAATCCAGTATTTTTCTTTGTCCTTCTGGTTTATTTCACTTAGCATAATCCCCTCCCATTCCACCCACATTGAAGAAAATGGCAAGAATTCATCTTTTTTGCACTCGAGTAGTATTTCATTGTGTGTGTGTGTGTGTGTGTGTGTGTTTGTGTGTGAAATCACATCTTTTTTTTTTTTTTTTTATAAAGACACAAAAACTTTATTTTGAATTGTGACTCAGCTACCTAGTCATTTCGTAATCGTAGATACATTTTTTGAGCCCTCCGAGAGTCACATTCATTATCTTTTTTTTTTTTATTTTTTTTTTAATAAATTTTATTGTTATATTCCCCATACAATTGCAGCCCCCCCATTCTGACCCCAATCCCTCCCCTCCCCCCCCCCCCCCCCTAAAAGTGTCTCTGGTTCATAGTTTTTTGTTGATTTTGATTTTCACTTTCTTATAGTTATTCATCTTCTTAATCCACTCTTCTGTCCTTGAGCACTTAAGATGTTTCCATGACATGGCTATTGTGATTAGCACTGCAGTGAACATAGGAGTGCATATATCCCTTTGAATTAGTGTTTTTGCAATCTTTGGGGAGATCCCTGGGAGGAGAATCGCCAGATAATATGGCAAATATACTTTTAATATATTAAGAAACCTCTATAATGTTTTCCATAGGGGTTGGACCAGTATACATTCCCACCTACAGTGTACAAGTGTTCCTCTTTTCCACATCCTCTCCAATACTTGTTGATCTCGTCTTTTTGATAATGTGCCACACTCACAGGTATGAGAGGATAATTCATTGTGACCTGATAATAGGTAGTAATGAGCATTTTTTCATGTGCCTGTTGGCCATCTATATGTCTTTTTTAAAATTTTATTTATTTTTGCATAGAAGAACTGGGGTGTACGCCAGAGGTGCAGGGATTGGGGATTGGTGTGAGAGGATTCACCAGAGACAGAGTAGGGAGTTAGAACAGGTTGATTTACTGAAAT